GGTTGATAGAGAGTTCTGTTCATGGAGTAGCTATGACTCAGAACCAACTAGACAGCAACACCTAACAGCAATTTAAGTTATGTTCTAGCTAGATCTTCTATATTTAAATATGTTCAAAGTGGGTTCCCTGAGGTTAGGAAACTTAAAGTAATTTCTTAGAATCAAAAAATATATATCAAGCTGGTAGAAACTACAGCAGAGAGGAAATAAGATCACATGAAGTTCAAAAAGTTTAATATTATCACAGCTGAAAAGTTAGCAGCAGTTTTGAGCCCTCCCAGAATTGCCGCAGAAGACAGGTCTAGTGATCTGCTTAAGAAAGATTACAGTCTTGAAAATCCATGGAGCATAGTTATATTCTGAAGCACATGGTTTAACCATGTCGTCAATAGAATCCTATTGACGACAGCTAACAACAACAACATATTAGCAGCCACTTCTCGTTCCAATTCTGAATGATGTTTACATGGAATTAGTATCTGATTTTTAAAAGATGGTAGAAAAACAATACAAAAATTACAAATAGTGTTACAGAGCCTCTTACTAAGAAAGATATTTTTTAAACATCATTGAGTTCTAGATTCACATTAAGACAAAAATATAACAAGAACTGTAAAATTTACCATTATTTCCTCTTCGTAGTCTAACGTTTTTCACTAACAGAGTCTGTGCGGAGGGAGCATGCCAGCAAAGACCGTCCGTTGTGACTTGGGTGCTTGCTGTTTCCTTTCTTTCACTTTGTAGTGTTGAAGGTTTCTTTATCCAATAATTTGTCTGCACTGGGTGCTTTTAATTTATGAATTTTCTTATTCCCCTTTTTGCTGTTATTTTAATGCTTCCTTGAGACATTTTAATTTTCTTCTTTCGTATTTTGATGAGAGGGTTCATTAATTTTCTTGAAGGGGTTGCCCTGTAAGTTATAATCTTCTCAAGTTTAAAGCCATTCTATCTTGAACTTTACTTCTTCTCTATTCTCTCTTTTTGCTTGCAGTTATCATTTACAAATCGACATTTCTGTTTCTTAGTTTTCAGTCTCAGAGGTTTATTTTTTTTTATGCTTCTTTACTTCAACATTTCCTGGTGATAATGTTGTATGTCTTAATCTCTGATTATTGTCTGCCATTTGTTGCTTCTCTGTCTGAAGTGTACCTACTATCATTTCTTGTAAGATTGGCCTTGCTTTTAAAAATTTCCTTATTTTTTGTTTATTTAGGAATGTTCTAATTTCTTCAAATATCGTTGTATTTAAAGGACAGTTTAGCTAGATATATAATTCTTGGTTGACTATTTTTTCTTTCAGGATTTGATATATGTCATTTCATTTCCCTCTTTTCTACTTGGTTTCTGATCAGAAATCAGAGATTAGCCTTACTGCTTCTCCTTCATTCGTAACTGTTTGTTTTTCCCGAACTACTTTCGGGATTCTTTGTCTTTTTACCTCTAACAGATCAATATTAAGAACTTTATCTACAAAATCACTAATTCTGTCTTCCATTGATTCAATTCTACCTCCACGTCCTTCCAATGTATTATTTATCACTGAAGTTTTAGCATTTATTTTCTGGATTTCTATTTGTGTTATATGATTTCTAATTTTCCATATGTCAAAAGTTTTTAATTCTTTAGTATTTTATGTGTGTTATCCTTGATTTTTTTTGCCTTGATTTCCTGGACCTTGTTTGAATTCCTCATTGGATAGTTCTCACAGTATTTCTTCTAACTTTGTTTTTCTTTGTATTTCTTTACTTTGTTTACTTGTTTTTTCTGGTCCTTTACTTTGTTTACTTGTTTGAGCTCTCTTTTCTCACCCTGCCCAACCCTTCCCATGTGATTTGAAGTTATCTTGTCTCTGAGACATCGTAATGCTGTTGTATTAATTTGTTGATTATATGTTGGTTTTCTTCAACTGTTTTTGTGTGTGTGTGGTTTGTTTGTTTTTTTGCTGCTGGTGGTGGTGGTGGTTATATCCAGGCAACAACAAGGTTATGCTAGTGACTAGTTTCACAGCACTGGGGCAAAATCCACCTATTTCCAGGTAGATTTGGTAGCAGACTAGAGTGTGGGCATGATTCTCAGATCACTGATTGTGCAAAGCATTATCAGTGCAGGCTGAGCAGGTGTTGGCAGCCATCTGTTATCAATCCAATGGTGCTGGGGTGGGTGGTTGCACTCACCAAGAGGATGAGGGCACAGGTGTGGTGGGGTATGACTCTGTAGGCCCATTGGCTCCCAAAGGTATAGATTAGATAAACAAGGAAATGGGGAATGACAGATGAAAAGAAAAAACAGGTGGTTGTAGAGAGGGGTGACTTAAGAAGAAAGAGAAAGGTGATAGAAAGTCAAAGAGATTCATAACCAAGTATTGTCATCAGCCAATCTTTATTTTTGTTCATTAAAGCTTAAATCCAAAAAATGGTAAGTTTGACACTTTATGCTCATTTTTCTGTTAAAAATTTTTACTTAGTTCCTTGTAGATGTCACTTTTCAGAATTATTTTAATAATTTTGTTATCTAATTGTGTATTGTTAGCTTTTATTTGTTGCATTTAGTCATTGCTCATATTTTCTGTTAATGAGACACCAAGGTTTAGTTTAGGTCATTTATTTATTTTATTTCAAAAATTAAACTTACATTTTAATGATGCATTTAACATCTTTTTAGCTGTTATAGAAGTATTTTTCTCAGCTTTTAAGCTCCTTTAATGTCAATATATTCTGAATCATTATAATCATCTAATTTTGGTGTCTTTTAGTTTACCTTGTACACTTTTTCATATTAAACCACTGCTTCATATATACCAGTTAAAATATAATTTAAGAATTCTTATGCAAGGGGCTTAAGTGGAGAGCAAATGTTTTGAAAATGATGAAGGCAATGAATGTACAAATGTACTTTACACAATTGTTGTATGTATGGATTGTGATCAGAATTGTATGAGCCCCTAATCTCATACCACTATGTGTGTAAATAAACACTTGATTAAGCACGTTTGAGTCAAGCTGTTGAATTGATTGTTGATAACCTCGATTTTATATGTAATCGAAAGTCAAAATAAGCATTGATTCTTAAGGTAGCACACTCATGTTTAAAAAGAAACTAGCTGAGTTTTTGAGAATTTGACGAAACATAAGTAGCGCAGCCTTTCTGGTGGCTTTATCACTTGCCTTCAAGACAGTGCCATTTGAGTAACTCTCTTTGCCTATGAACAACAAACTAGGACTGGCTGATGAAGAAAAAAGACACTCCAGTGTATATGCCTTGCGTGGCCTTTCCCTGCACAGTGTCTTTGTAGGCCTTCCATGAACAGATCATTTGAAGATCCCTGTGAGATTGAGTTTTTGCTTTGTTGTTTATTACATCATAGGCTGATATAGGATATCCTCGATACACTTTATTTAAATCATGCTTATTTAAAGTTATTTAGATATTACTATTTTAATAATATAGGATATTTCCAGAAAGAATATATGTTGTGTATATTCATCTCTGTGGATGCACTCTGGTTTTTTGAGGATCACCTCTTGGTTTTCTGGGAACAAAAGAGCAAAGAGCAAAAATTTGGTTTCATAGCAAACTGGAAAAAAACAAAACAAAGCCCTGTTGTCATTGAGGTAATTCCATTTCATAGTAACCCTCTAGGACAGAGTAGTACCAAATGGAATTTCCGGCTGTGAGTCAGAAACAACTTGATGGCAGTGAGCTTGGTATTGGAATCGTTGCGAAAGCAGACTGCCTTGAACTCACTGGAGGCTTCTTACTGCGAGCTCAGTTCATAGTCAGTTGTTTAAGCTGCTGTATCCGAGGCCTCACTCGCATTGCTGTTGAGTTGATGCTGACCCTTAGCAGCCCTACAGGACAGATGAGTTTCTGAAACTAGATTATGGGAGTCGGAAGCCTCACCAGGACTACTTGTTTGATGACTGTGTTAACAACAACAAAAATGTGCTATATTTAATGTGCATCTTAAATGTTGCTTCAAATATATATTGTTTTAACTAGTTAGCTTGCAATGTTCATTGGGTGATGGAAGTCTTATTCTGATTTTTACACAGAGCACAATGCTTTTCATATACTTTTAAAGAGCTTTATTGCATTTTCATGAGCTCTTGGCTAAGTAATTGTAATCTGGCTAATAGACTGCTTCTGGAATGTGGGGTTTGATACTTTTTTTAATGGTTATCAAGACAAGGGATCTTAATTATTTCCTGAAAATAAAAGGGATATTTACAAGTATTTCAAAAGGTTTTCACCCAAACCCCTACAAAGTACAAAACATAAGTTGTGTTTTTCTTATTGTAACACTCCACCTGGGGCTGTTAACACTTAATAGTACATCCTCTTTAGGGTAAAGTGGAGATTGAAAAGTCGCATTCATTACAATTGGATATGGTCTTATTATAGTATTAAAAAAGGTTTTTACCTTGATAGTATTCCTATAACTACATTTAGAAATATCTTTATTGTTAAATCTTTCCAGCCCTTTCCATTGGTTTAGGAGTCACAAAATGTCACTTTGTGACTTTATAGTCCATTATACCAAATCTGAGAACTCTTTGCACGAAGTGATAAGTTGAGTAATGACTTGGTAAAGGATTTGGGACCTACTTTTCATTGGTTTTCACTCTGAATTAATGGAAATATTTTCTCTTTTTATTCATAAAAAAATCTAGTACTATATTAATTTATGTGGTATAAGCAGAAAATTGGCCTCCCTTCTTCAAGTCACATATTTGAATTAAAATCAAGCAAGTCCCAAATCTTAGTTCAAAGTAAATATGGTTATACCATTCATTTAATTAATATTTTTAGAGTAATTTCATGTTTCTAGAAACATGTTATTCTATAGATTTTGAGGAACCAGAAATGCAAGCTTATGTAGAATAAAATTTGCTATATAAGAAATTATTATAAATTTTAAGTATGTACCTATGAACGCTGAAGTCAGATAAATATCACTTGTTTTTGTAGTACAATTTTAAGTGTGTTTTTTTCCCTCCCAGGACATTTATTCAGAGCAGCTGGGGATCAACCGTTTAACCCGTCCACAGTGTCCAGTGCCTTCCCAATGGTCAGCCACCCAGTCTTTGGTCTACATTCAGCCAGCTCAGGGCATTCAGAATTTGGTGGTTTGGGGACACTTGGTACACCCACAGCCTTAGCCGCACATCCCCAACTAGCATCTTTTCCAGGTAAACATCTGTTACAAACAGTGTTTAAAGGAAAGGAGGAAAGCTTGAAAATGCTCAGGCAGAAATTTGTTTTTCAAATGGAAAAAATAGGATAATCTAATACCTGGTATATTAAAATATTTGTGCAAGAATTGCCTCAGTCCTATTTACTGTATGCAAAGCAAAACAAAACTAAGCACACTATATGTGCTAAGTAGCAATGCTATTCATCAGTTTCTCAGGTGCTGATGTAGAGAAATAGTTTTCTGTGACATAAGAGAATAACCAGAACAAGTTTTTCTCGTGCTTTTTTAATAAAGTTAATATAAAAGCAGAAAATTGTACATATTATATATATGCAGCTAAATGTATCTCTCAGGCTTTTTCTGAATTTTAAAGTATTTAATAATAAGAAATGAAGGTCTTTCATTCTTCTAATGAATATTTTTACACTTTTACTTCAGATCTTCATTTCTCTGCATGTCACAGGGAAAAGGAGGTTGCCTATAAATTTTTATACTTTTCAAAACTTTAGACAGTAGAACATAATTCTAGAGATAAATAGATCTGGTTTTAAATCTGGTTTTACTACTTTCTTATCTCCCTGGCTTTGAACAACATATGTAGCCCGTCAGCCTCAGTTTTCTCATCTGAAAAATGAGTATGATAGCAATAATAGTACTTGTCTGATTGGGTTCTTGTGTGAAGATGAAAGAACACGTCAGTGCTGTCACACGTAATTAGTCTATAGTTTATAACTCTTTTTCCCCACTCTCATTGTCTGTGAATTAATTGCTTCTTTAAAAGAAAATGATGGTTTTGTTTAGCTATAGAAAAAACAGATGTTAAATGTAGATTTTACATCTACAGAGTAGACTTAAGTACTATACTTGAGTCATTAATAAAAAAAAAAAAAGAAGAAAGAAAGAAATCTCACTGCAATCAAGTTGATTCCAATTCTTAGGAATGGAATGAGGGTTTCTGAGGCTGTAAATCTATTAGGGAGCAGATAACTTCTTCTTTCTTCCTCAGAAGGGTTGGTGGGTTTAAACTACCCCCTCGTATTAGGCAGTCCGAAATGTATGTACCATCAGCACCACCAGCCATCCTGAGTTATGTCACTGCTTTAATTCAGTTGTCTGGGAGAGAAGAAGTATTAGGAGTGACTAAATGGTAATAAATAGTTAAAATGAAGTTTCAAACAAAGATCTAACAGTTGCTTTTAAAGTATTAATAAAAAAAATGTGATCGTGGTTGATTAGGAAGATGAGTGAGTATTCAATAGGTACTTGTTCAAATATAGGATTACTGAATAAAAATAATAATGTATTATTCTAATGCTTCTGGTATCTAAGATATTTTTATTGTTTTATGCTTATCATGGCTTTGTTTTTGAGCATTTCTAAATCACAATTTGGTTATATTGTATTATTGAAATCATATACTTCTATCTGTACTGCTAACATGAGAAATTGCTTATCTGGACTTCACAAATGTTGCTGCTTCCACTGTATGGGGAGAAAAAATGTAATAACGTCCCTAGCCTACATAAACTCTTTACTCTCTCACTTGTTTTACAAGTTCTTTGAGTACCTACTATATCCTCTGCCCTAGACCAGGATCTGAGGGGTACACCACAAAATAAATGCCCTTGTGCTGCCTGTAGTTCTCAGGAGACAATAGGACTTACAAGACAACAGCATCTGTAGGAATAGCAGTATGCCAGTAACAGTTACAGTATAGTCCTTTTGTGCCCAGTGTATGTATTGGGATTACACATTTAATTAAAACGCAAAGTTGGGACAATAACTCTTAAATACTTGGCTCTATTCAGAAAGGTAACCGAAATGCCAGACAAATAAAATCATCTGATAAATAACTAAGGACACATAAAGAAGGCTTTACTAGAAATTTAAAATGAAGAGAAATTTATCTTAAACAGTAGTTCATGGTTATTTCATTAAAATACTTACAATTTCAGGTTATTATGTTTTTATATTGTCTTAACATAATTTTTGTGAATTATCTGACACTCTCAAGTATGAAAAAGTTAAATTTACTGCCGTATCTTCTAGATTCACTATAACCTTAATATTCTTAGTTTTTCAGTTGAATAAGAAAAACATTGGTACTGTCTGTTAGTATCCTTAAATACACTTAGAAATTAATCGTGTATATGTCAATAAAACTATTTTTTAAAGAAATTCATCGTATGTTAATTGATAAAATTTTTATTTTATACAACTCACTTTATCAATAAACTAGTGAGTTACTCCATTTCACTTTTTTGTTTGCCTAAATTTCAAAGATAAATTAACTCATCACTCAAAAAATATATAATTTCCTCTGCAATCATATCAGATATTTGTAAAGTTTGTAATCAGTAACCTCTATCATATTTATCTTTTTATTTGATTACTCTTGCTTACTTGTTTTATATTTTTCTCTATGTTGAGAGCTAATTTATAACACACATTTTCTATAATTTTTACCATGTGTTTATTACTGACATTCTCAAATACATATTCATGTTTTTCCAGTTTTCTTATGTCTAAAATATTTGAATTGCATTACACTTTGATTACCATACCAATTTCTTGGTCAACATGTACTAAGTCTATAAACTTAATTGTACTGCTTTAATTATAGACTGTGATAAATAATATACATATCCTTGGGAATCCTCCTTCACTTATTATCGTTAAGTGGAGCCTCATTTCAACTGCTGAAACAAGCAACACACACCTTGTTTGTCCCTATTTAAATATGCTTCTTCCTTCTAAACCAGTGTTTCCTAATGTGGGCGCTGCAGTGAGCTAGAAGGGGTTCCTTGGAGGGGGCCTGGAATGATCCAGGGAGACTGCAAAAGCAGGTGCTTGTACTCTAGCCTGGCTTATGGACTACAGTACAGAAGTTTTCCATTGCCAGCGGCGTGTTGATTCCCAGCCCCCCACTCCATTCCACCCTCCCCCCCCCACCCCCTGCCGACAGTGGAGTCAAATGCTTTGGAGGCCTATGCTCTAAACAGTGAATGAAGTGATTGGCGTTTCTGTAGTCTTGGTTCACTTCTCATCATTCAGGCACTAGTGAATATGCATTAATGTCATTTAATGAGCAAAACCTGTCTGCAGTGGAGGAGGAGAATATCACTTACAGGGTCCTGTTAATACTTTTTTTTAAAAAGACCTTTTAGAATGGCAGCTACCCTTAATGTTATTTTAAAAATAGATTTTGCCATTAGATGAGATGCACATCGCTTTATAGGAAACCTTTTTATTTGTGAAAGATATTCCTGAAAAACATTCAAGCTAACATAATACAATATGCTGACAATCTTGAGTTTCTCTTGTATTGTATTATAGCACCCCCCCAATTTTCTTATTAAAATCAATGAAAATACCTTTTATACTTGTGTTTAAGCCGAGTTTTTCAGCACATTTTTAATGCAGTTTTTGTGGTACAGTTAGGTGCCTTGGCGGATATTCAGGTCAGCTTATACTCAAATATATATGGTACGCCATAAATTTCAGAAAGTTGGACTGAAAGAAAATAACTGATTTTGTAATCTATTGGCTTAGCCCACTAGATAAGCGTGCTTTCACGTTTTTACTTATTTTGTTGCTTTCACAGTTGTAGATGGGACACTACAAGACTCTCTTTTGGCTTGTTTTCTGATCTCTTCCTAATCTTCACCCTTCATTTAAAATTGTAAAAGAGTAAGCCATGAAGTATTACTATTGTTTCAGTTCATACATGCACTAGTTTATTCCAAATAAAATGTTTAAATGTGTCTGTGATCAATGAATGGCTGCACACAAGTTTTCTCATTAATGTAGTGCATCTCATTGGAATACTTTAAATATATAGATATATTTTGTGCTATCTAAAACAACCATTTTGAGATCAGGGCTGATATCAAATTTTAACAGAACTCAAGTGGACATCTTCCCAAACCAGTGAAGCTCTGCCCCTCATGAGCCAACCATTTGTAGGCAGATCAAAGGTTTTAAGTAAGGGTGGTCAGAAAGTCTTCAAAGGTAAATTCAAGGTGGGAAACTTAGCACAGAAGGTTATGGTAACTGTCCTGTTTTGTTTTGTGTTTTTTGGTATCCGAAAGAGGTCATCGTGATAGATTGTTCTTGAATTACATGAGACAATCGTGGGGGCTTGGAAAACTGTTAAGGAAGAGGCGAGGAAAGTTGCAGGGAGAATTTGTTTTGCATCACCACAATTAACCTGCTCATTCTTAAAAGGTAGCAAGGACTGCCCTATGAAAATGTCATTGGGAGACCTTATCTCATCCACCCTACAGGCCAGAGCTTGCTCCTTTAGACTTCTTTGTATTCCTCGAACTCAAAGGACATTGACAAGAAGCTTTATGTAAGCCCCCGTAAGATGCCAAAAAAGATCTCTGATGATGTAGTGGGTTACACGTTCAACGGCTTAACTGCAAGGTCAGCAGTTCGAAACCACCAGCCACCCCAAGGAGACAGATGAGGTTTTCTACCCCTGTAAAGATCTGCAGTCTCAGAAACCCACGGGGACAGCTTCATTCTCTCCCATTGGGTCCTTTTGAGTCAGACTCGATGGTAGTGAGTGGAGTCCAAAATTGATGTTTGAATGTGGCCTAAATTGAATAGCACAGAATTCTTCAAAATAGAAGCACTGTCTTCTTAAATGTATAGGCCCATTGGGATCATATGTCATAAAACAATAGCTTCACAGTTTGATACTTTTGTTTAATAAAGGCTTCTATGATTTTATAGCAGTACTTTTTTTACTTACCATAATATTCTATAAAATTTGACTTCTTTCCTTTTTCAATCATTTAAATAAGAGCTATTCTTTGAATACCCAAATTGCTCTTGATGATAGGCTACCATTTAGTCCTTTTACCTCAATAAAACAGTATTGCTTTCTGTAGCTTGTAAGAGAAAATATAAACAAAATTCAAACTATATTCATTAACTTAAATAGAATCTTGATAAATCTTTTGTATTTTATAGTGGATTTGTTTTTTCACTTTTTGAGCATGTTTCACTTTTTATGCTAAAAAAAGACTTAATGGTTTTGCTATCTGTATATTTCTGATTACCTATAGAATATTTTCTGCTAGAATTGACTTTGAATCAATATTCCTTATGACAGTAGTCTTTGAACTCTATGTAGACCTCTTGAATGATCAGAGCCAGGTTATATTGTATGTAGTTTGAGGAAACGGTCAACATAAGTTAAAGCTATAAGCTTAAATTGTAAGGTTTGAAAAGTAGATTAGTAAAGTCTTAAGTATCTTGCTTCTTAATTTTCAAACCTTGAACTACCTTTGTTCTTTAGAAGCTTGAACTGTAGAAATCTGCTACGTGAAGACCCTTGGGCACTATCATAATAAGAATGATAAGTGTAAAAAATGATAAGTTTATGAATTCTAGTCAGCAGTTTTTATATAAGAATGATGGTCAGAAATAAATATAATTCAGCAATCTTGTTTCAGTATGAAACTCGCACATTCTTTTTCAAGAGTAAATCCTAGAAAGCTATTGTTATATTCATTCGAAAGTCAGTGCAAGCATTTTTATTTAGTTTGCTTGTCTGACTTTGAGGTGCTGAATGGTGGCGAGCAGCAGATGTTCACACTCGTCCTGGAGCAGCCTTCTTCCCACAGTTGCTGGGAATTCCACCGCTGTTTGCGCCTCCAGCCCAGAATCATGATCCTTCTTCATTCCATTCCAGGATATCAGGAAAAAGCAGTCGAAATGGTCCTGAAAAAGGTATCCATATGAACATAGGCGAAGTGCTGTTGATTTCTGATTCCAGTACCAGTTTCTAGTCGAGTTGAGGCGTAATGTAGTCTATATAGAATGATGCTCAATTGTAAGGACGGTGCGAGACCGGGCAGTGCGTCCTGCTTTTGTACCTAGGGTTCCTCTCTGACCCAGAGCCGACGCAACAGCGTCTAGGGACGGCACCGGATTTGCTACTCTTTTACATGGTCTTACACAACCCTTATGACAACCCTGTGTGATTCAGGGTGTGTCTTCTCACTTTACGACTGACGTTACATCTGTTAATCAAGGGACCACTGGATACACACTGGGTTCTGCCATTAAGACTTGAACACCAGCTTCTGGCTCCTAAGTGTAGTGCTTTTCCTTCTGTCTCCCGCCCCTTCACATGCACAGCCCACATGATGGTGTTTCTGTTTTGATTTTAAGATCAGCACTAACGTTATTAACACTCATAACCTCAAACTTTGTTTTTAGTGCTCATTAGTATTTGGGGAGTGATAGCTGCAATTAGAATATCCTTTGCCAATTATATTTGCATTTTAGATGGTTTATTAGTAGCTTGGTTTTCACCTCACTTGTAAGTGTTTTGGAGAGATTCTTCTCAGAATATTTTCATTTAATGATCTTTCTGTAAACATGTGTATCCTTTTTGTAGGTGTAAATGGGTCAATAAATGGAAACAGCACATCATCTGTATCTGGTATTAGCACGTCTGTACTGTCCACTACAGCTTCAAGTTCCACGGGACAAACTAAAACTATAAGCTCAGGTGGAGGAAATCGAAAATGTAATCAGGAACAAATCAAAACCCAGCCTTCGGATGCTAGAGCTGACAAAATCAAAGATAAGGTAAGTTGTTCTTTTCTTGCCTTTGATTTTGAAAAACAATGCTGAACAGACCTTGTTTATGTATTCAAACTACCAGAATCGATGAATTGATTATTAGTTTCTTATGAATGTGCAACATCTGGTTTGGGACATATTTTTTGGTATTGTGCTCATGTTTTATACTTTCAGAAATTAAAACTGAGCACCAGTACAAATAATAATAGTAGCTAACATTCATTGAAAACTTAGTCCCTACCAGCTTCGCTCTAACTCCTTTGCATGTAATATCTATTCAGTCCTCCTTATATCCTTTATGAGACAGGTTTTATTATTATCAATTATGCTCAAGTGAACTAAAGGCCTTTGGAGCTAAGGGGGGGAATCCTATAGGTTTTTACCCACTAATTTTCAGTTTTAATTTTTTAGTAGTTTTTTTAGCTGCTCTTTGTATACATTGTATGTATATAATACAGATGGTTTGTATATATACTTTGAAAAATGGTTCCTCAGCTAATTTTGATATCCCTCTTGGGAGAAAGTGGTGCTTTCATTTCAGATTTAACCAAAAACTCACTGTTGAATTATTGCATTTTGCTGTGTATATTTTCAACAATTGCAAAACTTAAATTATTGCTTCAAAAATATAGGCCCTTGACTCACTGTAGAGTATGCTCTGCAAACCACCTACATCTCAGCCACATAAAGTGGTTGTTAGTGTGCATCCTTGTGCTTGCTTTGGGAGTAGAACTCGGGAAGAAACTCGTCCCAGTAAGTTCTGCACATGAATCTTACACACAGAAGCTTTCCAATCAGACACCTCGGGAGCCACTCCTACAAGTGGAGGCCCCTTTGCTCATGCCATCTTTAAATTAAAAATCTACACACAGCTTACTTGATCATTGAAATTGTGCCTTTTTCTCTGCTAAGTCATCCCTTTCCTTTCTTAAGCCCTACTACAACCAAAAGTTATAACTTCAGTTTAGAGTCCTTATGATTAAATAGTCTCACTACAGAGAATTAGAAACCCATGCTACATTGTGGATGCAAAGAAAGAGGGGCTTACTTCTTTGTCAAATGAAAGGTAGAGATTACTTAATATTATTGTTGTTTCCCTTGCATCACTGCCTTCTGGTTATTTTTATTCTGTGATCCTTACACTCCTCCAGCTCAGTCCTTCATCCCACCCTGTTTATCTTTGAGGGAAAGAAATAGCTCAAGGAATGATGGGAACTATGAGTCTGCTGACTAGATTACAGAAGCTGAGTTTGGGAGCAGCTCACAGAGAGTTAACTACAAGCAGTGAAGATCACTTTTCTCACGCGTGTGCATTTATTTTGACAAATGAAATTTCAGAAGGTATAAAGGAAGGCATGCACATTTGCAATCCTTTAAATATGACTTCATTCAGTTACCTCTTATAGAGGTGTGTTTATTGTCTTTCATGTCTCAACCCAGTAGTAATGAAGGCTGAATTTCATTAAGGCCATAATACAGAAATGACTTGTGTCTGCTTTTTCTATACCTTTTCTTTATTTCATCTATTGGCCATGTTATTGAAATGCTTCTAAGTAACTTTGGTTTATACTTCATCTTGTTGCTCTATGATTTCTTTTTTTAATTTCTATTTTAATAAATCATTTTATTGGGGGCTCGTATAGCTCTTATAATAATCCATACACCAATTGTATCAAACTCATTTGTACATATGTTCCAATCACCATTTCCAAAACCTTTTCTTTCTACTTGAGCCCTTGATATCAGCTCCTCTTTTCCCCCCTCCCTCCCTTTTACCCTTGTGAATCCTTGATAATTTACCAATTATTTTTATTTTCATATCTTACACCATCCACAGTCTCCCTTCACCCACATTCCTGTTGTTCATCCATTGCTCTATGATTTCAACATTTCTCCCACTTACTGGCAGTTTTAACTTTTTGATTAGAAAAGGAGGCTTCAAAAAGTTTATGAAAAATTTATAATTTGTCTTGGGATTCTCTCCCCTCCACCCTCCTTTAATGTAACCTAATACTCCTGGTTGGGCAGTGGGTTAACCATTGAGCTGCCAACTAAAAAGTCAGTGGTTTGAACCCATCAGCCTTTCTGTGTAGAAAAAGAGGAAGCAATGTGCTTCCATAAAGATTTGCAGCCCCAGAAACCCCGAGGAATAGTTCTGTCCGCCCCTTAGGGTCACTATGATGCTGTCACAATCAACTTGACAGCAGTGGGTAGCTAGGTAAGGTCTGCTGGCTAATACTACTAACCACAAGGGTGGCAGTTCAAACCCACCAGCTGCTGTACTAGAGAAGGATGAGGCTGTCTGCTTCCACAAACATTCACAGTCTCAGAAGGCCTGACGAACAAATGACTTGATGGGTTAGTATACAGTCTTTATATGAGGAGGTTTCAAACCATTCATGAAAAAAATTCCATTGTCTATCCATCCCTTATATGTTGTAAAAATTAAGCTTCCTCCTTTGTCACCTTTTTCTATCATTTCTGATATGAAATACCAAAACTTGAATTCCTCGATCCTAATTAAAGCAACATCTCCAAGTCTTACACTGCCTGTTTTAACGTCACTCTAATGCTCACTGCCGTATGGAACTGTTGTCACGTGCGGTTATTCCCCACCTGTGCCATCGCTGGTCTGTACGTTCCTTGAAGGTGAGGGTATTATCTTGGACACTGTTATAGCGATCGTCTAGAATTGTATTTGGTATATTATAGGGAGACATTTGGCAACTTACTCACCACCTGCACAAAGAAGGAAGGGGAAAGCTAAAGATGTAACATTGAAATGATCATTTTGTAAATTGCTCTTTTAAGTGTACCATGTTTTGAAGCATAATGGTCATAGACGTTTACATATGTATGAGAGGACTTTAAAAGTTTGAATTCTATTATTGTTCAATTCCATGTTTCATTGTGAAGCCTCCTCATGTATATGAAATTATGAATGCCTTCAGTATGCTTGCTGAATTTGACAAGACCTTGCATTTTTAATGAAGTGAGTCCTTTGAGATAAAGTAAGCAATCTGTTGAGTAGCCTTCCAGCCCTACAGCAATGGCCCTTTCCTTTTTCTCTTACAGTTACAAATTAAGATTTAAAATATTTCAAATTTAAAGTAGCTTACCTAAACTTGAATTCTTTCTCAAAATAAAAGCTTGGGGGGAAATCTTGTCTTTTTCTAGAAACCAAGGAAGAAAGCCCTGGAAAGTTCTAGTAACAGCGACAGTGATTCAGGCACGTGCTCGGACACCTCCAGTGAAGGCATCAGCAGCAGTGACTCGGATGATTTAGAAGAGGAGGAGGACGACGAGCAGAGCCTGGAAGAAAGCGACGAGGACTCCGATTCAGGGAGTGAAGCACAGCATCAAACTAGCAATCAGGTATCAAGAACAGCGTCGGCTGCCTTGACTAACCGATTGGTCTTTCCCCAAAACCGGATACTTAAAGTTAAGTTCTGATTTTTGCAGAACCTATCTAGATTCATTAGGAACACCGTGTAAAGTGTTATATACTCGCGTATAAGCCGACCCACCTATCAGCCAAAGCACCTAATTTTACCACAAAAACTGCATAAAAAAATATGCTGGGAAACTCAGCTTATACACGAGTATATACAGTACCTTCTTTCCTTCAAGTGTTTCTGCTTGATATTCTTTGTTTTATAGATTTTAAGAAGTTACGTCTCTCTCTTTTTTTTAACAGGTGCTATTACATGGTATTTCAGACCCAAAAGCAGATGGACAGAAAGCAACGGAAAAAGCCCAGGAAAAAAGAATACACCAGCCATTACCTCTTGTGTCTGAATCCCAGACTCCCTCATCATTCCAATCCCAGCAGAAGCAGCCTCAGGTTTTGTCACAGCAGCTTCCATTTATTTTCCAAAGCTCTCAGGCAAAGGAGGAGTCTGTGAACAAACACACCAGTGTGATACAGTCTACGGGATTGGTGTCCAATGTGAAACCTTTGTCTTTGGTAAACCAAGCCAAAAAGGAGACTTGCATGAAACTCATAGTTCCTTCTCCGGATGTACTTAAAGCAGGGAACAAATATACCTCTGAGGAAGCTAGTCCTTTGACCAGTGAATTGCGATCCAAACGGGTGAGTGAAATTTATCTGTAGTAGAAAGTTTACAATTAGGAAAAAGAAAGCTCTTCTAATATTTTTATGCTACACAAGTTTAAGTTAACGTCTACCTAAAATTTATACTTTCTTGTTTTCAGGAATAGAATACGAGCATTAATGAACCAGATGTCTCTGATTTTAGATTTACTTTCTCATCATTTTAATATATTTTCTGACAACTTAATCATGACATTTTTTTTCAGCTCTAGTAATACATAGTTATGTATTTTCTGGTAATGCATAGCTGAAGCATAGCAGATATTATTATTGGCATCATCTTCATAAGTAAAATAAGCAAATTAGAAATTACATTGGTAAGGGTATTTTAGTTTTTCATTAATATATATCTCATTTTAAGAAAGTGATAATAGAGTACCAGAGCAATTTATTTATATTATAAAAGGTCCTTTTTTATAATAGCTGAGTCACATGTGTACATATAATTTTACTTAATCCTTGTCAAAACTTTTTGACGAAGGAGCTAAGGCTCAGAGAGGGTAAGTCATTAGCAACATCACTTAAGAAACAAGAGCAGCGGGATTTAAAACAAACAGGTTGGACTGGAAAACACTCTTAAAGGCCAGCGATCCTTGAACTAAC